TCCGTTTTCCAGATATTATAATGTTGAGACAAAATGACTACAATTATCCATTTTTCTGATATTATAACGTTGAGACAAAATGACTACAATTATCCGTTTTCCAGATATTATAATATTGGAACAAAATGACTACAATTATCCGTTTTCCAGATATTATAATGTTGAGACAAAATGATTCCAATTATCCGTTTTCCAGATATTATAATGTTGAGACAAAATGACTACAATTATCCGTTTTCCAAATCTTATGGTTTTTTGTTTTTTTGAAACAATAATTAAAATCTCTGTCAGCAACAAACATCCTGATTACAGAAGACATTTCGCAGTATCAGAGCTTGAAGGCTTACAACGCTAAATTTCGGGGTTCAATTCCTGTGGCGGGCACCATACAGATGGCATTGTATATATCTTTAACCTTAAACAAAAGCAAACACTCCTTTTTATAACTTTAAACTATTAAGCAGTCCTTCATACACTTACTTTTCTCTGATATGATACAAACTTATCCACAAATTTAAATACCTATTTTAAAGCCCTCAGTGGCTCAACGGTAAGTCTCACAGCTTACTACCCTAAAATTCTGGTTTTGATACATGCGGTAGGCAGAGCACAGATAGCCTACCGTGTAGCTTTGTGTTTAATAACAAACATTTCATGTTTTAAGGATTTTAGAATTTTTTTTTAAATTATCCATCTTAGTTTGTGGAGGGTAGTTGAAAAGTGTATTAAATTTTTCAAGATAATCTTTTACGTTGCTATGTATTACATTTTTAATATGTATAACAAATATCATTAAGAAAACTAATTATTTATGATACTTATTATATTTTACGTCTACCATCCCTTTACTAACAACTCATTCATTAAGTGTTATTAGATTCATAGACAAAACTTACAACCAAGATACTCTTTGTACTCGTTATTGTTTTATGAATTTACGTAACGTTTTTTTCTCTCTCATTAATTTCCATCAGCTGAATTTATAAAGCTCCGGTTTCTAATGACTTCCATGTTTATAATTAATATTTTATTTGGACATTTTCTGTTCTTTACTAACGAACATATGGCTTAGTTGTTCTAATTTAATGAGATATAGTATAATATAGATACATTTTAATGTAGCCTAGACAAAAGCCCTAGAAAGTTTTCAACGAGAACAGGATTAGTTAAATAAACTTTTTCGGTAGTAATTTAAAACTTTTACTGAAACTCGATAAATAGATTGTTTGATTTATTTTCAACAAACACCCATTTGGTCTTCAGATTCATGCTCGAAATCATTTGATCATGCGAAATATTTTATATTCGTTGTCCAAATACGTTATCGAACTCTCCCAGTCTTGGTTGGATTAAGCCAACGTTCAAAAGCTTTTGATACTGCTTTAAGTTATCGAATGTAAATTGGGCTTTTCACCGAGCCTTCTTTTATGTGACTTAATAAGTTATTTCGATTTATGGAATGAACGTGTCAAAGTGACGCTAGTTGAACGTTTATAATTTATGGCAACGTGCTCAGTGCTTTGATTTTCCACCATCGTTGAACAATGGTTTGTTTTGTTTTCTTGTTTGTTTTTGGTTGATTTAGCACGAAACCTGATTTTTAGCGTCATAAGTCCGCAGACCTTCTGCTGAGCTACCGGGGACGTCACACAATGAATAATAATATAAAATTATCAAGTTCAAATAGGTAAAGAAGGTAGACAATGTATTTTTGTTATTAAAACATGTTATATACTGATATGTAACAGCAATTCAGTGTGTTTGACATACTATTACCTTCTTCTTTAGTTTCACTTACATGTTCTTATAATTACCAATATAGTCTTTTCCTGTTGACGCCATGTTTGCTTGTCTCGCTCGGTTTGTTTGTTTGTTTCTAATTAAGCACAAAGCTACACAATGGGCTATCTGTGTTCTGCTCACCACAAGTATCGAAACTCGGATTCTAGCATTGTAAGTCCGCAGACATACCGCTGTGCCACTGGTTGGCCTAGCTCTGGGTGTAATAAAACTATCTTTCTGGTTTACCAGTTCCTCTGAACGATTGTAAAAAGTTAGTTGAAATGAAAATAATTAAAAATAATATTAATAAAAAACAATTGGTGTTCAAATAAATAATTAATTTGACGTTAAGAAAAATCGTAATATTAATTCTGATATCCAATAACTTAAATTAAATTGATATGAATTACTATTTATCAACTCAATCTAGTTCATACTGAAATAGTTGTTGTTCAAGGAATTTATTATGTAAATGGCATCTTAACCACTATTTTGTCTGTCGTAGCCCAGCCGGTATGATGAACCCTGGTATTAGGCGAAAGGCATAGTCGGCACTAGATATGGCACATAAACTGTGATCGGCACATTATTACATTCCTCTTTACTTTCACTCGTAAATTCTTGTAATTTAATACGTAACACTTTTCTTTGTTTTGAATCAAAATCTAATAAGGGAGAGAGAGAGCTTTACCTTGTAAAATCGTTGCCACTTTAACAAATATTTTTTTTATACTTTACCTTGTAATATGAGAGCTCCAGATACGTTTCATGTATAGAAACGAACTATTTTTTCATGTTCGATTTGTTTATATTATTATTTTCTAATGTCTTGTGTTGATACTGCATTATTTAATGGTAGTAATGATGATATATGTTCTGTAATAGCGGTTCTATCAACGTGGAGTTGAAATAAATAGGCACATTTTTACTTAAACATTTTCTGTGTATGATGATCTAAAAATACGTAAATATACATTAAAAAAACAACAACATTAAACATAATTTTTTTCACAATTCTTTGAAATATTATGAAGCCTTAAAAGTTTGCCCCTGATGAAGAAAGGTCCACCTTTCAAAATCGCTTGGATTGTATGGTTTTGTATTTTTATGAAGCCACAAATACAATCTTGTACAGAATGTTCAATACACAATGTCGTCTAATAAACATATCTTCGTTTTTCTCTTTCGGCCCGGAATGGCGGGGTGGTTGCGACCCTCGACTCGTAATCTGAGGGTCGCGGGTTCGCATCC